TCCAAACTCTACTGGTTTATCATATCCAGGAACCTTTAGCAGAGTCCTTTCTTTAATATCAATGTAGTCCACCTGCATGCAGCAGCCAATTACATTGCAGTTAAAAAAAAAGAAGTTAAAGTATACACAGAATTCATCATCCGAAAAAGTCATGTATAGCATTGCATACCTCAATATCAGATATTGCTGTTAGTAGGACACAGTCCCAATTCACTAAACGAAGGTCCCTGCAATAGTGACGTTTCAAAAAATAATGCAATGAGTACACAATATTTTCTCATTAAATTAATTAAAAGCAAATCAGCATTCTGTAGTTTAATTAATTTACATAAAAGTCAGAGAGAACCATATATGATTATTGGATTAACCATTCACCATTGCTTGCACCATCCTGAACAATTCCCCGTTAAAGTGCCTTCGTACGAAGACAAGGTGTAAAGATAAGCAAATACAAGGTTATATAATTATGGTAGCATCAAATACAATCCATGACTTGGACATTTTTTTGCACGCTATCAATTTTACTCCACCTAAATTGTCAATCATCAATGCTTTGCTTCCACCTTGCATTTCCCAATATTCCACCAGTCTTGCGATGAGCCATGCCTTGAAAATATTACATACTAAAAAATTGTTCCAGTGGCTACATATTATATTTATTTAGATTCAGATGCTCCCAGCATCAACCCACCTATATATAAGGCCCTGCTTATATAGCCTTACAAAAGCCTCAGTCACAGCCTTTGATCTTCTTTCATCCATTGTGAAGCTCTGAAGATAAAGGGAGCCAGGATTAATATGAAAGCCATATATGGCTCTTGGATGCCATGAGAGAGATTTACATAACTATTGATTAGACTCTTGGCAAGTTATAATTTGTATCTTTACCTCACGAGACCAATCCAAGGAGGCTCCTAAACGACGTAATTGCTGTAATATTGTCCCCCCATACTTGTTTTTCCAGTCCCAGACCTATTGTGCCAAGGTTTACCAAGGTAGATCTTATTAGCAAGAACATAAAGAAAGAGGATTTCAAATTAGAAAGTAAGGTGACTTTGAAGTTGCTTTACAAAACGTACCTCAGATATAAATCTCTCACGGCCTAGATCATGCCTAGTCAAATGCCTTTCACGCATTATCTTCTTCTCCACAACAACCTGTCACAACAATCATACTGTCATCATCTATCAAATAAAAGAAACACCAGTATGTGTTGGGAACTAATGTTATACATCAAAACTCACAGTTTAGATAATGCATGAAAAAATATTTCATCTAGAGACCATTAAATGGCATATGAAGCTAAAGAATGAGAAAGAAACATAGAAGGCCACTCCTGCACCACCCTACTGCAAGATCCACAATGGGTGATAAATACCAAGAGAGCTAAGAACCGTATAGCATTTGTTATATTTTGGGGAAGACAACCTGTGTTGCAATCCCTGCATGATCCATGCCAGGCACCCACAACGCATTATATCCAGACATTCTACGCCAACGAATAATCGTGTCCTGCATACAACAAATATCCCTTCAGATGATTGGTTTTAAACAGCTAAACTAAATTCACATTCCATATATATGCAACCTCTATTGCAGCTGTGAGGGCGTGACCAATGTGAAGAGCGCCAGTCACATTCGGTGGAGGCAGTACCTGAAAATACAGCACAATTAGATTGCTCCATGGTGCTCAAATTGATACCAACAAGCTAGTTAAATAACACACATGCTGATTCCCACACCTCTTGAATGTCCAATCACATTTAAAAATAATACTGTTGGATTTTCACTTTTCTTTAAACTATAACAAGGATTGTAATATAAAGAAAGGATGGGTTAATAAAATTCTGACGAAAAGGGATGTAAGACAGAGGAAGGATTACTGCCAATATATATTGCAAGCTGCAAGGCTACTCAGCACTCCATTCATCACGTTAAATTTGTGGATATAGATTTCGATGTTGCCCGTTGTTAGAAAAATGGACCAGAAAACAATGGCAGGAGACACTAACACATAGAAGTCCAGTAAGATACTCACAATAACAAATGATGGTTTGGAGCTGTTAGCATCTGCCACAAAGAACCCTGATTTCTCCCACCATTCATACCACCTAAATTTTTAGCAAAACAAAAAAAGATAAGGACTTCGTATGACTAAAATATAGTTCATATGAGGATGGACGCAGCACTCACGACTTCTCCACCGCACGGGGACTATACTGTTTTGCCATTTGACGAGACATATATTTCCTCTGACCTGAAGGAGTCTCAGGGTCGATATAATCTTCAGGGTTCTCATCGTCTGCGCGCTTTACATTCTTCCTTTCACTCTTCTTAGAGGCATTAGATGGTTTTTGTTCCTGCTCCTGAACATTACTCGCAGTATTATATTGATTAGATAGATAAAAAGAAATTTTCCAATTTAGAAACAGCAAATGAATGCTGCACTTGCACAGCAGGGAAGAAAAACTCAGTCACCTGACGCTTAGCAGCTTTCTCAAGAGCTTTCATTTTCTTCAATTCCTTTTCTCTTGCCTGCCACAAAGCCAGCAACATTGTCACATGATAAAATTGCAGACATCCTATTTCACCCAAAAAAAAAAAATCCTCTTTATGGTTATAACTGCATTTATCAGCCAATGAAGTTCATCTGAAAACCTATATTAACTTGCATATATCTGAATTCTAACCAAAAGCATGAGTTTACAGTCAAACAGAAGCTGAATGCATAAATGGACGAAACAAATATAATGTACAGATAACAGAAGCCACAACATTCTGATCGAGATTATGCTGCCAACTTTTAAAATCCCATAAACTGTCGAAAACGAAAGAGATAGTAACGAAGACCTTCTCTTCTTCTTCTTCTTCTTCTCAGGGTCCTCCACCTCAACTTTCTTCTCCGGTTCCATTATTAGTGATCAGTGAAGCTCTGCAGCGACAGATTCGATCAGGATGAAGATTCTGAGTAGTGTGCGGTATAACGAAGCTCAGGACGGGTTGGGGCAGCCACCAATAACGGCACTCGGAAAACCCTAGACGGCGCGCACAAGTGAAATGACGACAGTTACTCGAGTGCGGTGGCAACTCAGTAACAGAAAATAACGGAGGCGCATATGCCTTCTTTTTTAAGATGCCAAGGTCTGATCACTGATGAGACCTTTAGTTAACATTCAGAAATCTCTTCTGAGACATTTTGCCTCTCTAGGAATTCCCTTGTTAAAAATCTAGGCCTGACTTTAAATTTTAATACTCCTCCGGTCTTTATTATAAGACTCAATTTGACTTTTTATTTGGTCCTAATTATAAGACCCAATCCATTTTATCTCTTATATTTATGCATTTTTTTCAAAGATAATCCTTCTAATAATGATAGTTTTAGCCAATATACTTAATTAGCAAGGATATTTTAGGAATAACAACACTTATTTATTATAAATAATCAACTTAACTTACTTCTTTAATCTCCTCAAATAAGTCAATTGGGTCTTATAATTAGGACCGGAGGAGTATTTTAATTGGGTTTAATTGGATTCTCTCTAAATTTGTCATTCCCTTGTTATTATTATAGGTACTCCAAAGTCCAAAACCTTTTATTCGAAAAATTCTAATGGCGTTTAAGTTATTAAATTTATTTTAAGTTTAAATTGATATTTCTTTTTTAAATTTATCCTTATTAAAAAAATATGTTATGCATTTTTACTCGTATATTTCCTTTCGATAAAGTAAAGTGAAAAAATAATCATTAATTACTTTTCAAATAACTTATATTTAAGAATAAGTTTTTAAAAATATGACTTATAATAAAGACAGGAACGGTATATGGTAAACTTTGTTTGATGATAGTCAATTTTCATAACATAACTTACATAAAAATTAAATATTTAAAAAGTTTTTTAATTTGAAATGCAAATAGAAAATTAATTCAGTAGATCGTGGAATTTTTTATGTAAATTCTGTAAAAAAGTGAATCTATTTTCATTAAATATTAAATATTTGTAATTATGGTTTTTTTACTGATATTACTATAATACCTTTCTTGTCTTTCAAGAAAGGTTGCATAGTCAACGCAAAATTGAGGCATGGACAATCTTTTATTTGTAAGAAAGCTCGTGTTATGAAAACCTTTGCTCTCAGAAAAAAAGTTGTAGAAAAACTCCGTTTGAAATTTTCTTCTAGTCTTCCTCAAGTTTTCAGCCGCGGTTGGATTCAAGCCAAGAAATTTACATCCACGTCAGATAATTTAATTAAAAAACAATTATGAATGGATTATGAATATCGGGTATACTCAACTAGTGTTCTGCATCGTTGTTACTTTAGAAAAGTTGTAAACAATAGACAGGAAGCTGATTTTTTTGTTTTTTGACCAACAAGACAGGTAGTTGACTTTGATGCCCCCAAGTTTAGTCTTGCGTATTACATCCAAAAAGTAGAGGCAAAATGTGCACGCCGTACGTTTCAGAGTCGGAAATTTCACTTATCGGTAATGAAACATATTCATTGTTTTGATAAGTTTGTTCCATTCACAAAAATTTAAGCTCGGCATCTAAATTTCTACTTTGGAGAATTTTCTCTCAGTTCAGTCACAGTTGAACCCCTTAAATTTATTTCAGAAGAATCTAATCTTCAGTTGAACATAAATTCTGGCGGGTAAAAAAAAAACTTCAGAGCATAAATTAATTTGGAAATAGTCTGACATGACCATTTTATGATCTCTGCCTGCCATATGCACTTGGAACGATTGCATACCCCACTAAGTGGCCGGCCAACGGCATATTCTTTATAATCATTCAAATTTCATTTTTTGTTTTGTGTACAAAATACCAGGATGAGAATAACTGGAATCGTTAGCTTTTGAGAATTGAAATAATAATTGATCTAAAACTTATACATGGAAAAAATAGATCTTCCCCGACTAGACGACCCAGATTGAGAACTTCATGGGAGGGGTGAAAACCTGGTTAGATACACATCTTGCACCAAAAAGAGATGAAAAAATCAACCAATAACTTGTAAAAAATGAAACTTTGAAAAATAAGATACGCTTAAACATCTATTATGGTAAACTTCGCCTTCTATTACATAGATATTTGTCAATTTATATCAACGATACGGTGTGCTTCTTACTATGAATTTTTTGGAGGCATGGGTTATGAGAAATAGGCATATGCAAATCTAAATCTAAATTCCAATAAAGGAAGTAGCATCCCTCATATACTGGGGGGAAAAACAGAAACAAAAACAAAGTGGGGGCCATCGTGGTAAGCATTTGAAACAAATGCATGCACGAGGAAAAAGTTAAAAAACTAGGGATGTATTAACAAAGTAATCAAGGCATGTCCTTGATGATCTGAACCGATCCACCATCTGAATTATGTCCATTGAGCCAACATTATATTACCTTCTTGAGGAGTGTGGAGGTCCTAAACTCAGCATCATCCCTTACAAAACTCCACCAAAGGTATGTAATTGGAATGGTCGTTGCATGCCAAAGTGCATGAGCATCCACATAGCCCATGTAAGGGGGGAACTCGTATATCTCAAAGAGCATAGCCAGATTTCCTCCCACCACTACCAGCCACAGTTTCCACAGCCCTGGATGGCGTGAAACACCAGCCCAAATTGCCCAAATAAGGAGATGGGTAATTGCTATTGCCATGCAGACTTTCATGTGCAAACCTGCAAATGACAGTGAAACTGTCAGCTCATTGCCCAAGGACAAATGCATCATGATGCACAGTTCAGCAATTCTAGAAGTTAATTGAGCATAACTTCGCAGGATTTGTGCAGACCAATTTAATTTCATCTAGTTAAAATAAGTTGACCAAGATGATGGATTAAACAGACAAACAGGACCACACAATGGATACCACTAAAAGTAACTAAACTTTTCGAGACCAGGCCTATATTAGCAGTAGAGGACAAAATCAAGGCAAAGGGTGAAAGGGAGAACAGAACATGCAGGAAAGAAGACTGAATAAATCATTAAAGCAAGTTACTGTAGCTAATCTCTATGAGATGGAATTGCATCTTTTGTTATTCTTTAGTGTCATTAACACAAGAGCATAAGATGGCATCATTTAACATAACATTTCATTAGAAAAACAAGCATTACCATAATCAAGTTTGTAGAAATTCAGATACAGAATATGAGTTGTCACAAAAGCAATCAAGGGAGCAGCAACCATGATTCTCGCTGCCTCATCTCTCACATTAAAAGCACGCAGTAATGCTAGAAGGAGGGAAAATCCAAGTAAGGCCACAGCAGATGAGTGATCTAGCTTCTCGGTGAATTCCACATCTCTACATATAATAAATTTTGGAGTAGCATGTAAACACAATAACAACAATAATTATAAACTGAGAGTCCAGAACCCCCATCCGCCTCAAGATAAATAAATAAATAAGCATAAGTGGGAAAGATACTTTATAAGAATATAACATCATACAATGCTAAGAAGCATGGGCAAAAGCACCATAACCAAACAGAATCTGAAGAGGCTGGCTACTTTAGATGAGTTGCATCAGTACGAGAAGATTGTATGACACGCGTAAGGAAAAAACATTACTGTATGATTCAATTGTATCATTTGTATTGAGGATACCAAAATCTGCTTATTTCCTACGCATATAAAGATTGTACCTGTACCTAGGAAGAGTATCTTTTTTTTTTATTTTAACAAGAGAAAAATCTTCAGTAGAGAAACAGGAGGATATGATTTGTGGCAAAAATATACTTGTCTTGCATTGGAACTGTAAGTAAATTAATGCTAAGGCATCGCAACAAATAAACAGCATTCTTCGAGTGTTAAGACTTAAACACTAAAAAATGATTGAATAAGGCCAACAAATCCTGACCACAACACGCATAGAGAGCAACTTACCTACTATGGAAAATAGCGCTCCAAAACCATGAATTCATTGATAGGACCCCATAGATATGCCACAAGCCAGTGTACTCATAATAAGTCTTCTTATCTGGCCTTAAAGGGAGCTTATAGTACACAAGAATGAAAAAGGATACCCAACCATGAAACTGCATAGCAAGATTAAGGGCAGAGAGTGCAACAGCTACGGGTTCCTAAAACCACAAGTAACACGTCCATGCTTCAATGAGAAATCAAACCAAGCCATATAACAGATATCTTATTTAGGTGAGACTTTTGAAAAACCTGAATCCCATAGACACGCCGAAATGGCCATTTTCCATGATACTTGACAGGCTTGTCACCAAGTTTCATTCGTTCTTCCTCTCTAGACTGCATGCAGTGATACCAGCAATCGGTCTGACAGTCCCACTGTTTCCACCTTAGGTAGAGAGGTTCATTCGTATACCATGGGCCATCAATTGGTTTTCCATCAGAAGAGAATTTACAATGTTGAAAGCATCTATTCCCTACACATCCAGATTTCTTGCACTGGTCCACACAGTCCCTGATATTTGATAATGACCCAATATCATCACATAACACATACAGAGTACAATAATTATCTAAATGTTACTTCCTATGGAACAGAAGAATAAGATCAATATCACTTGTTAACATAATCACCAGCCAATCAATCAGAATCACAACATTCACCGTCCTTGCTTCTGCCTCCCCTCAATCACAACTGATAGTACTTATAAGATGGAGTCCACAAGATACATCGTATTCAATTGATGAGGAGTATATCTTTTACTGGTTGCATTTTTATCAAAATATATGTGTCATGGAGAAATAATCTCTAATGCTTAAGGTTTGTCGAAAATAATCGAGCTTTACAAAATGCTGGCTTTCCTTTCACAGACGAGGATATCTATTCAACTAATACAACGCATGCAATATAAATGCATGTACTAGTATTATGGAGCACACTTTTTACTCTGCAAAAGATAATTATCAGGCATCAAATATCGTATAGTGTTGATGAGACTAAGTGCAGGTTGATTGGAAAGGCTGTTGTTGACCAAGGAGGGATTCCGGATATATCAATCATGAAAAGAAAGCAGTCAAATATGGCTTTACCAAAAAGGAGGGGGGAAAAAATGACGATAACAACCACCGCCATTCACATCACCTTTATTGCAGTTACATAAACTCTATGATTTTAGGAAAATTGAAGAAGGTACAGGATGAGTCAGTAGACGACTAGGCTTGAAAATGGCAGGTGCAGAAATTGGAAATGTATCCAGACATAACCAAAAGAATTATCCTCATATGCGGATTAAAAATTGTAAGCAGTAAGTTAAAAAAAAAAAAAAGGCAATAGAACCTCCACAGCCTCCCAAGTCAACGATATCTCAAAAGGTCACAGTCCACAAAATCTTCCAAAGAAAAAAAAACAAGTTACGAAAAGTTAGGAGAATATGAAGAAATCCAAGTTTCATCTTTCTGAAAATGCCAAACAAGATTCTCCCCGCCAACCCGGATTCATAGAAGAACAGCCCCCTGCCTCAAGAAAAATGCTTACTGACAAATTTTTCAAGTCAAGATCGAGTTCCGACGAAGAAAGGAGCAAGAAATGAGAATTCAAATAGCGAAGTGAAGCTTACTTGTAAAGCGGATCAGTCTCACCATCGCCGGCGACGAAAACAGCAACAAGGCACAAGAAGGCAGCAAGAAACAATAAGCAGTGAACTCGAGGCATGAGAGTCATGAAAATGCGAAGTGAAAGGGCGTCCAAGATTTGCGAGCTTCGCATTAACGAAGAGAACAGTTTGTTTCACATATAGTGAAGGAGAAGGAGGAAGGGAAGGGAAGGGAAGGAGGTGGGTCAAGTGAGTGGGAAGAGCGAGTCGGAAATGTGGAGCGAGAAAAAGTGGGAGCAAAACCTGGACCAGAATCTCGTGAGCAGCCGATTAGCTGATCTCCAAGACGATTCACGAGAGGACACGTGTAGATGCTGATGCTGTCATTTGATTACTATATACCACCCTCATTGTTTTTCGTCTATTTTTTAAGACGAGAATAGTACACAAAATGTATAAAATTAAAAATTGAGCTCATGCCAGCTCAACCGCATCGATAATGATATGCAGTACAAGTGATAAATATTAGATAATATTTTTTTATTATGCTCTTCTTATTTTTATTATAAGCACTCAATAATGATTTGAAGTAGCTCAACAAAATTAGTTAGAATTATTTATTTTTAAAAACATTCAAATTATCCTTGATAAAAATTAATTGTCAGAAGAATTTAGTTGATTAGTTAAGAAATTATATAATCAGTAAAAGATATTAGGAAAGGAAAAAAAATAGATACGTTAAACAAAGTATATTTTATTATAAAACATGTAAGAAAATATTTTATTATAAAACATGTAAGAAGTCATCATAAACAAAATAAGAAGGAATAGTATATTGATACTATTAACCTATTTTGGATTTAGACCAAAAAAAACCTATGTTTGGATTGAGAAAAAAGTAATAAGAAAATAAGAAAAAGGGAATAATAAGATGAAAAATAATTAAAAAATTATTTTTGGAAATTAAAAAAACTCAATTCCATGGGAGTAAGCAATTGAATTCTTTTGATGGCCCAGGAAAGAAGGGGAAAAGGATTCCTCTTAACTAGGTGCGCCCCACAACGCTTGTTTAGTGACGGCTCCAATAATGTCTGATTAATTTTCTTTTACGTTCCCTTCCCTTGTTTTATCAGTTTGCCCCAAGGTACAGTTTGTCTGCTTTTTCCCCCTTACGAAAATAAACAGTGCAGGTGATTTTGACTTTTGAGAGGAGCCTCGAAGAATTTATTAATACTAGCTTAGTTTTATATTTTATAGTTTTAGGTATTACTCTTGTTCTTGGCATAAAACTTATTTAATTAATTTTATTAGATTAAAAAAATTATATAAGTTAGTTAATTATAAAAAATATGACATATTTTTTTTTAAAATATCGTAATCTTCTTTCTTAATATCTTCCCTCTCTCTTTTACTTGATTATTGTGGAAGGAGTATTCATAGGGATAATTTAAAAAAAATTGATAAATATAATAAATAGATCTTATTTTTATGATCAAAATCAACTCAACAATTAGGTCTTATATTAAGGATTGGATGAATACTATATTTTTTAACGAAAACATTACACAGCTGAGATGGAAGTGAAACAAAAACATGGACTTTTTTCAGATTTTATTTTTATGATTATTGATGTTGTTAGCCTCACGTTTTTTTTTTTTCGAGGGGCGGGGATTTGCACATAGACAAAGTCAACCCCTATTGATCCTTTTCATGGTTTTCTTAAACGTATTAATTAAATTAATGATTGTCCACTGGCATGTTCACCATTACGTGTTCATGAAATTGGGAGTTAGTCTAAGTTATGGACGTCGTTAGCAGCAAATCATCAATGTTCCATAATAAATTTCTGATATCCAGAAGAATCCTTATAAATTCCCATAATTAGTTCTTTGAGCCATATTTCCTCTCATTTGATGTAGTGTGTCCATTTTCTTATTATTACGTGGAAGTTGACTTTGACTTTCCTGCTTTTCTTGAAAAGCACGTTCTACTAAAATTCCTTAGCTTTCAAGAGAGAACCTCTTTTCTTTTCTTTCTTTTTTTTCCCCTTTTTTAATAAATAAGGCAGCACGCCACATTGCAAACTCACAGAGTCTGATATGTAATAGACACACACCCATGGACACCCTGTAAATATTTTATTTTATTTCTTTATAAATTCCATTCAAAGAATTTTCTGGCAAAAAAAAAAAAAACCAAAAAATTTAAGTCTTCAAACCATGTGTAGGCTGAGTTCTTTTTTGAATTTTGCAAAAAGTATCATTCTAAACAATTTAATAATTATTTTTTAAAGAAAAACTGAAGAATGCTTCCCGAAATATTTTAGTGTAAAATATGATTAAAATTCTAATATTTAAGTGTATTTATAATTTTTAAGATGTTCAATAGAATTGTTTCAGGTGGAACAAATAAAGAATTTTTTTGCCAACGACCAAAAAAAAAGTAAATTTGTATTAAGTTTAGATCATTAAATATAATTTTATTTCCTTTTTTTTTCCCAAGAATTTGCTGCAAATGAGTGGCCATTGACAGTAATCTTACCTAACACCTTCTGTGAATACGCGCCCGAGAAGAACGGCTATCTACTGGACCAAAAGAAGAAACACATAGGCCTTTCTTAAGTCAACCCATTCTTTTTTCCGGATATACTTTAATTTTCTTACACTTAATGAGGGGAAAAAAAAAGACTATACATGGCTATTTGAAGAGATAAAAAGATAAAAAAAATATAAAACTTGAATTTAATGGAGAATCAGTCAATCACATTCTTCTACGTTATTTTGTTTTCTAAATATATAATTATATAACGATGAGGATATAATTTTTTTAAAAATTATTTTTTTTCAAAATATTTATTGCTGTATCAGAATAAAATTAATATTTTATGATTGTAAACAAAATGAACAGAAAAAGAACAAATGGGGTAGGAGAAGCTGTCGTTAGCAAATTATCTCTTCCCAAATTCTGGCATGAAAGTGTTGTATGTAAAGACAGATGAAAGCAATTATGAACGATCATGATAATTTGTTTTTGCACACCCGAGTGTTAGTAAATAACTAAGAAACAACATTTTCTAAGAAAAACAAAAAACCACCCGGTCCTTATTATAAGTTACTCATAACTTATATAATTAGAAATGCATTATTAAATTTTTTTTTCTTTATCTGCATTTACAAACCATTATCACCCATTTCTCCTCTTTCTCTCTTTGCAATAAGAATTAAATGAGGATTAACATCAAAAAACGATCATTAAATACCTTTCAAATGATTTATATTTAAGATCAAGATTTTTTCCCACAAGTGATTTATAGTGAGGATCCAAGTGGCACAGGGATTATTTGTGTTAATAAAAGTGATGTTAATGGGGATGATTGAGGGGAGTAGTAGGAAGAAATGAATGCTAATAGCAGAATAATGGGGCATCATGTTCTCAAACGTGCAGCTTCGTTCATGGAAGACACGTTAATCAATTCATTACTCATAAAAAGTCAACATATATTGCTGGGTTTAGACAACAAGGGTATCCCATTTCATCTTGTCCCTTTCTCTCATTCTCAAAAAGGTTCTGCCTAAAGTCTCCTCACCTTGCTTTTCATTCCAACCTTGGCTGACAACATCATGTGTCTCTGTTTCACATACCTGACATGGACATTCGTTTGGTGGTTCCTTGTCTCTCTGTCATGTTTTCTGCATTAAATTTGTTTCATTCACACGCAAGCAGAGATAAAAAGAGGTTAAATTGTGTGATGCTTTTGTGCTTGAAGGGAGGGGGGAAAAAAAACAGAAGAAATTAAAGTAGGAAGAGAGGAATTTCATTGAAAAACTTTATTAATGAGAATGACTTAAATCAGAATATTGGTATTATGTGTTAACAAAATTTACATAGCATTGATACTTTCTGTGCATAAAAATTTATCAGGTCTTTCTTACCAGTAAAATTTTTAAGATGTCACTTTCCTTTTCTAATTTTCTCTATTTCCTTCTTAATATTTTTCTTAAATTCCATCAAACATGATGTTTTATCGATTATGGCATTAATATGCTTATGCAACCACATGGGCTTCAAATAGTAATGTCTGTCGTATTTAATGTTCAGAGTTATGACTTCTTGTCGCCATCTCCCATCTTGCTTTTCACGTAAGTTCAAGCCTAACCAGAAGTTTTTGTTAAAACAGCCGAAATACTACATATTACTAGTGTACTTGCAAACTTTCCTCCTTGTTGTTTCCCTTTTGGAGCAACAGATTAATTATTAATGGATAAAAAGGAGAACATAAAAAACAAATGACGTTGGGAATTTTGGGGGTTGACAAATAAGAGCTGTCATAATGATAATAAAAGCGAAGTGCAATGAATATGGCGAATTTTTCTTTAGGATGGGTGAGATATTGATAGTTGACGTAGCTAATCATGCCCTCCCTTCCCTATTCCACTTTCCACCACTTTCCCCCTGTGATTCCTCACTGCAATCATTAATTTTTGTCCATTAATGTGGAATATCATCCTAAGTTTAAATTAATATCGACAATTTTACTAATGGATCATTTATACATGCTGTCTCATCTGAGCGTTGGTTACACTTTTGCTCGGTTACATGTTCACATTCTTTGAAGGTTTATCAATCAAAATAATAAATACCTTCTCATATATCTAGCTCACATGTAAATCATTACTTTAAAAAACCATTTATAAGCTATTTTAAACATGTTCTTAATCTTTTTAATTTTCTTCTTTGAACAAGATCAACCATCCAAATTTTTTTCCTAAAATAGTACATATTAACATAATAATTTCACGCTAAAAGTTATAACCATAAAATTTAAGTAAAACCCCCACCCCAAATGAAAAAGAAGCCCCTTTCTAGTTTACCAAGTCTTTAAATAAAATTACAACATTTGAACAAACTTTTAACAGGACTGTATTTTTCTTTCTAATAAGTTTCAAATAAATAATTAATTCATGAATAAAAAATAATTAAAAACAATAAATATGCTAAAAATATATTTTTATTTTTCAATATACCCTTATAATAAATAAGAAAAAAGATAAAAAAGAATGTGCACAAAAAATATGATAAAAAAGAATATGACAAGAGAGAAAATAAATAGTTAAGAACAAAATTCAAAAAAAAATAAATAAATGTTAAAACAAACTTAGATTAAAGTTTATGAAATGAATCAGTCTTTCCCAAACTCAAAACTTATAAATGGGAGTATATTATTACACAATTGTGGCAGTACAATGTGCCAGACAAAATCTTCTGGCCGTACATGCCGAGTAGCCAGAACGAGCTGTATAGCAATGTTTGGTCAAACTTGAAAGGCAGAAGGGCTAAATATGAACAGAAGCTTGAAGAGTTGAGTTACAAAAACACTAGGTTATGATATTGATAACTATGTCTATCAAAACACCTTTCCTTTACAAACAAGGCAAACTGCCATTTTCCCTCACACTCATGGGAATAGAATAGACATTCCAAGGTGAAAAAAGAAAAACAAGGTGAAGAAAATCAGACAACTTCTACCTGATATGAAAACATATCATCACCAAATTGCCGCCAAATCTAATCTAAAAACTAACATCAAACAGAGACAGCAACCCTGACTCAAATACAGATACATAACATGTACATGTTAGGGAGGCAAAACTTCCACGGGCATGCCAACTTGGGACACTGCATCAAGCACTCTTTTAATTAATCTGTCAACAAGCCATTGTGTTTTCAACATACAAGAGATGACCTAAGAGATGTCGGGAGTTGAGTGCACGATGACCATCGAATGACGGATTCAGTCACCACAATGTCAAGTTGCTCACGTTCACCTAGTCCGATAGTTCGGTTTCTCTTGCTGTGGATTCCTAAAACCCTATGCCCATTGTTACCACCTGCCCTTTTAGTGTCCATTGGCTTCCGATTACTTGCTTTAATGTCCGGTCCACAACAAAGAGCAGAATCTGGTGATAGAAGTAGTTTTCCCAAGCTTGATTCTGCTATACATTGCAAAAAGATAATAAATTGATGGTAAACCTCAATTACTTGGAAATATACATGATACGAACAGAAAACTCAACAATGCCATCGCGAGAAATGCAAACCCTTACGGGTATCCTGATTTTCCTACAGAATTATCAATTCAAAGCTAGAGAAACAGTGAAAAGATTTAGAAGATGAGACACTCAACACATACCTTCAACAATTGCCTGGACAGATTCATCAGTTGAGAACTCTAATGTACAGCTCCTTTTCTCAACAACAGAATTGGCGCTAAGAAATGCAAAGCTAGGCATTGAAGAAACAGGAGAAGAGAAGTCCAAACCAGCAGAATCACTGGGACTCTGAAATGAAAACCCACCCAAAGCTGAACAAGGAGTCGATGGTTCCATCAGAAATGAAGAAAATGATGATCTGCATGTGAAAGTTGGTGATTGAGCATCACAAGCGAGAGATTCAGCGCCAAAGCTGATGTCCTGATTCCTGGGCATAAAGGGGACAGAGAATGAGCTATCACCGACATCCCATTCACCCCAACTTTGGATGTCACATTCAATTAGTTGTTCAGGATTTGTTTGATTGCTCTCCATCCAGCAATGATCTACAAAACAAATACTCAAATGAAGAGTCGCAGAAGTGGTATACTATTAAGTTTCATTCGGGATGTAACCCCTATGCCACATAATGGATGTAGGCCCCCTAAAAAAAGACGTGTAAAAAGAAAAATAAACATTAAAGTGATTTCAAGAGGAATAAATAATTCAAATTCAAGGATTTGATCAAAATAGATTATTATGGTTCGAGAGGAAGTAAGAGCATCCACTCGGACACTGCAGTGGAAGTGTGTTGAATCAAGAGCAGACAGTAAGTCCACAATCCATTTCAGCAGTGAGTAACGAATGACAGAAGAAAACCATTTTGAGGCTCAAAGTTGCGTGAAATATTACTTACATGACTGCTTAATCTAGAATCAGTACATACACATCATAAATGACTGCATATGATCATGAAATATTACCTTATAAATACTAATAGTTTTAAGCATTATGACATCGATTTTTTGCAGGAGTTTGGACCATCTGCCATAAATTGAACTAAAATGTATCTCAGGCCATAAGGGAACTGAGCAGAACAGACAGATTCTTAACGCTCTAAGTTGTTTAATGTTCAGCAATAAACTGCGTATTTAATTTAACTATGATATAGTAATCATCTTCACATCATCTCTACGGCTTTTCAGGTTGCTTTGCACACCCAAGAATTCCAATAAGAAACAGCTTCAAGCTTACCTAAGACCTGCTGAGCAGTGAGCCTTCGAGAAGGTTCTGTGCAGAGCATTCCCTTAATCAAATCCTTGGCTGATTTAGAAATGTGATCCCAAGGTTCAGATGGGAACCTCAAGTCAGCCGCCTTAACAGCTTCAAAGATCTGTGACTTGGTCTTACCCCAAAACGGAGGCATCCCACTAAGTAGAATGTAAAGAATGACACCTGCACTCCAAACATCAGCAGCCTGGTCATATGAACCTGCAAGCACCTCTGGGGCTATATAGAATGGACTCCCTACTAACCCATGCAAACTTTGTCCTGCTTAAACAAAGCCCAATTTGAAGTAAATGAATAAGTTGCGTTTTCATGGAAAAGATAAAACTGCAAAGGAATAATACTCTTCCACGGAAGTATAAAATACAAGTACCAGGCTTGATGTAAGTTGCAAGCCCAAAATCTGCCAATTTAATCGGAGATGAGGAGGCTCTTGTTGCTAAGAGAATGTTCTCAGGCTTCAAATCTCTATGAACAACCCCATTTTCATGACAATACAAAACCACCTGCATAAGGTGCCTAAAAAGAACCCGGGCTTCAGATTCAGAAAATCGTCCATTCTTCTCTAGCCGGTGAAATAGCTCACCTCCAGCACAAAGCTCCATCACCAGATGCACAAAATCCTCCTCTTCATAAACTGCCTTGAGATCCACAACATTTGGGTGGCCAGATAACCTAGCCATTATCTCGATCTCAAGTTTGACACTTCGCAGATCATCTGATGTGACCAATCTATCTTTAGCAATTGATTTACAGGCCAGAACATCTCCAGTCAACTTGTCCGTGCACGCCCTGATAACACCGAACTGTCCCCAACCTAGCTGCTCGCCAAGAACATAACGATCCTTCAAATTTGCAGACTGCTTAGTGTCCAGTATTGTTTCGCTTAGATTTGCTACTTTGAAACAACTGTAAGAAGTTGAAGGTTCAGAACCACTGTTGCTCTTAGCAACATCCATACCAATATTTTGACCCTCAACAAACCCAGATATATCAAGAGGAATTTCCCCAATAGTTCTCTAGCAGAAACTTTAAGCCAACAATACTCAGCGCCTACGTCAACCTTGATTTCTTTTCCACACTGTCATCCACCAAATCCCGCTTCAGAGTCAAAACGCTTGAAAAAGCCGAACTTGGTGGGTGTTTAAACAAGACAAACCGTAATCCACACGACAACAGGAATTTGGAAAGCAAGAGAGTAAACTATCGAACTTAAAAACCAAAAATCTGACCCTTTGGCCAGGAAGACTTGTTTGCCTTCTCCAAGCAGCTGATCTGCACAAAATGATAATGAGACTCGCGCAAGTCAATAAACGGAGGCTGATTAAGAGAAAAAGAATAGTTTTCAAAAGATAACAATCGAGCAGATCACAAGGTAAAAACTTTCCCTACCCCAGATTATGCAACACATTTTAATTTAAATTATGGAACGCTCCATTACAAAATTAACGAAGATTTTCAGAAATTTACAGACGCAAGTCATCCATAACCCTTAACATTAATGAGAATGATCTTTAAAAAACTCAAAACCCACAAAAACCACTACCCAGAAACAAGACAAAACACGAAATGAAACAACCCAGATCCGAGAAAAGCCAGCTGGGGAACGAGAAGGACCTGAGTGAGGAAAGGAAGAGCGAGAGGAAGAGAAGGCGAAGCAGAAAGGAGAAGAGAAGGAGTCCGTTGGAGCAGTGGTGGCTCTCAGCTCCGGTGGGCTCCCCCCCCGGTGGGCTCTTGTGTGGTGGCAAGCCCTACTTGTGGTGGCTTCGTCGCTTCTGTCTTTGAAATTGAAGCGACCTTTCCTCCTCCTCTTCCTCGGACTCCAATACCGACTTCTAATTTAGTTTAATCCCTTTTCCTGATTTTCGGATTCTAATTTTATTTTTTTATCTATTTTTTAAATGCAATTATTAGATTCTTTCCAGTTGTTTCATTATGATATTGATATGTTTTTTTTTTTGGGGCCAAATTATGATAATGATATGTGACAATGTGCTGTTTCCACTATGGTTCTCCTCGCTTGGGCTTTGTATAAATATAATATATATATATATATATATATATATCCACGCACATACGCACCATACCTACGTCTCTTCTTATATTAAATTATCACAAAAAATCATATAAAAGATAAAAATAACGCAATGAATGTTTTCAGTAGTAAGAGTTAAATTATTTTTTCCTATATTTTAACATTTGTTTTCTCTTTATAATTTATACTTTTACTTTACATTACTTGATTGATTTATTCTGACCAGCTTATTTCCTGGCCTATAGAGGAAACCTGTGTTCTAATTTCTTTATCTCACCAGCTTATTTCAAAGAACAAAAATTTGAAAGAGAATTCAAAATTTAATGCCCAAACAGGGCTTTTTTTTCTGGCTTCAAATGATAAATCAAAGGCATTCCAATTATTTTAACGTGAAGAATCCTTCTTACCTTGTTTCTGATTTATAAATAAATGTTGTTAGGTATAATAATATACATATATATATATATATATGTTATTCGATTATACCCCACATTGTGTTTGATCAGAATTATTCAAAACTTCACATCATTCGGGTATTTTTAAAAATTGCATCATGCCTTTATGCTCAAGTGGAATCCTCCTTCCCTGTAAAATATTTTACCTATATACTGATATGGCGAACATTTATATTTCATTTTTTTCAAAAAAAAATTATACTCTTCCAGTTCTTAATATATGACCCAATTATTGAGTTAGTTTTGGTCCTAAGTATAAGACTCATTTCTCATGTTTATTAATTTTCTCTAAATTAACCCTATAGATACCCCATCAATCATAATCAGGCAGAAAAGGAAAATAGGGTATTAAGAAAGATGATTATGGTATTTTAGAAAAAACATGTCACATTTCTTATAATTAACTAACTTACCTAACTTTTTTTAATCTAATTAAATTAGTTAAATTGGTCTTATATTAAAGACCGGAGGAGTACCTATGGAACTGACATGTTATAGGACGATGTGAACATTAGCAGGTGATCCTAAGTAGGGACAGCCAAATGAGAATGAACATAGGGACTTGTGATGTACGAAAGGCGTCCGAGAACTCTTTTGTTTTTTTTTTTTTTTATGTAAACTGTATTTATCAAAGTTTAGTGCAAAAAACAACTAACATAACTAGGTCTCAACATCAACCCCCCTTCTCCTTGTATAAGAGGTGGAGTTTAATCAAGAGTACAAAAATTACTATCCATGCTATGTGAGAATTTCGCTAAAAAATTAACAATTTCTAAATTTTTCCTTAAAAAGTAACAAATCAAGACATTCCAATTCCTATAAAAAAGAGACCTATTATCGTCTACTATATCTCTAAAAGGGTGAGAGTTATAACAACCTCTAATGATCAAATTCAAGGCCTCTGTACAATCAAAAAGTAGAAGGACACTTTTAAAACCTATGGCTTAACAAAGGTTCAGTCCATGAATGATACCAATTAATTCAGCTATTGCTGGTAGAATCTTGGTAAGCTTGCAGGTAAAACCCCGTTATCCATCTACTGTCTCCAACCTAGGTAGCTCCTCCACATCCACTCTCTCCACTAGCCAAGACTAACCCATCTACTTCAAGCTTAACAAAATCCTCATGGGATCTGTTATCTACTCAAGAATTCTTCATAACAAGGGAAAACAACACTCAAAGTAAAGAGTTAAATATAATTATTAAAAAATGTTAATAACGAGTGAGAAACATACAATTATTATTTACTTATTGTAAAATTTTTAGATAGTTACATTCTTCATAAGATTCACACAAAACACACTAAAATTTTGAGGTGATACTGATCATCATTCTGGTGCGATTTTTTATTTGCATTCTTTTACTACTCTAAAAATTAGGGGTAAATGTTATTAAAAAATAACTACGGAATGTTGGACACAAAAAAATTAAAATATTAAATATATTATAAATAAAATTAAAATACTGAAAATACTTGAAAAATAAAATTAGAGTTTGTTGAGGAGGCCAAACATTTGTACCTTTTAACAAATTAAAAATCTGAGGGGATGAAGCGCATTTATTTTTAATGGATTTTGCCACGTGTCGAGCAGCTAAAGTTTGCTTTCCAGCTGACAGCTGGAGATGTTGATGGGGGGATGACAGTGACGTGGCACAACTTGGCTGCTTGGTAATGCGTCCTCAGTTTCACAGCACTACGGCGCTTGTGAAATTCTTGGGTCGTTCAAGGGAAAAGCATGCGTCATGCTGACGGAATCTTTACCTTGCCACTCCGTCCCCCGGCACGGCTGCTTTGGAAAAACAAAATTGTCACAATTGCTAGGAAGTCTGAGATTTAAAAAAAAAAAATTCATTACTGAAAACAAATCTCAATAACAATAAAACAGTTTATAATAAATATAACTGTTTATTTGATATTAAAACTTATTAATATTTTTTTAATTAATTCTTTCAAAAACTTGTCACCATGTCACGAGACAAATCCTTAAAAAAATTTGATCGAGGGAGATAACATTCATATTAGATATATGTCAAAACTCAAAACGTATAAAAGAAATTCATCAATGGATGCGTTTTGTTATGTTTATTAATATGGTTCTTATTCAGAGAACACATTATTAGTTAAGGAAAGGGATCTTAAAATGAGAAATGTTTAATTTATCTCACATATTTATCTCAGATCTTATAAATTTTAATTAAAAAACTGTTTTTGAAAAATGCTCACGTGATTCTAAACAAATAGTAAGGGAACGTTTGGGATATCCAAAATAATTTAAAAATATTTTTACGTAAATCGAGACAAATTTTTTTTTCAATACTTACAAATTATTTTTAAATTTATAGTTTAGTTTCTATCTAAATATACATGTCATATTATTTTACAGGCTCTCATGTATTCTTTATTAACATTCCTCCATATAATAATACAACAGAGTAATTCTTTACTTTTCGTGTACACGTGATTTGTTTGTTGTCTTTTCACGAGTAACGGCATTCTGAAGGTTGGGTTATAATAATGCTCTTGAAGCTCGGGTCGGTCTTTATTTTTTAACTATCAAATCTTCAAAGTCATCGTAAACCAACGAATTTTAATTCAAGTCGGGTCGGATATATGTCAAAAAGAGATGGCTCATCTTAAAACTGTTTTCCCCCATGTTCAAAGTAGGAAGGTAATGAGGCCTCAGGGGTGAAAGTGACTAAACTTGTATTGGTTACGCGAGAGGAACAAGGAAAATTGCATTCCAAAAATGTAATTTATCTACTCAGATTTAGTGTCTCCAATAAAAAAATTACTCGTGTTTATAAAAACAATCGCATGTCTCAGTGGCGATTTGGATCCTTCCTATAACGATCACGTTGGTCTTGAAAGCTCCCATTAAACTGACTGGAGAGAGTGTTCTGGCGATTTTGTTGGGTTATTTGGGGGCCCAAGGAGTAATCCAAAAGGGAAAAAGATTTCAAACAAAAACCCGATCAGCTAGCCAGCACGAGGTCCGGATCCATTGGACTTTGTAAGATACATCCAGTCTTGAGTCCACCACACCCAACTAGGCCCTGCATTCTTCCTCAAACCAAATATTTGCAGGCGCTGCCACAGGGTTATGCTCTCATTTGCTGAGTCGAAACGCACTCCATTCTCATTAAAGACGACCCTGAACAGATTGTTCCACATGGAAGTAGCCACGCGAAGGTGTAGAAGTTAATGAGCTACACAGTTCTATTCATGAGCACGACACAAATAGAGTGATTCTGCAACATGTTCCTCGTCTCGTTTTCTCTACTGACTTTTGAATGTCAGCTAGTTTTTAACCTCAAATGTACTTTTACAGCATGGCTCTATATTGGCATGGAGGTTTAATTTGGTCACATAGGCTTTTGAGCCTGCTGCATCTCTTGGGGTTTGTTTGTTATTAGAGGAGAAGAGGGGAGGGGGTAGGAGGGATCTTGCTCCCCTCCCCTTGTTTGGGTTGCTTCTTAAGTTTCTGACGACGTTGAAAGTGACAAGTTTTGCCCCGCGATCCTTGGAGAACTGTAGGGTATACTGACCTTCTGTGGGTATACCATAATTCCCAATATCATGACGAGGTGATCCAAACCGGTAACTACTTTTGTTCAGAGCAATGTGAACAAAGGGATCAGCAAAAAAAGAAAAAAGAAAGAAAGTCTCCTTATGACAGACTCTTTTCCTTATTATTATTCTTTGAACCAACAGACTCTTTTCCTTAAAACCTAAACTACAGAAAGAAAATTTGTCAGAATATGAGCCTCAGAACTCAGAAGTGTCAGTTAAGCTAGCCAGAGTTAAAATAGATGGACAAGAAGGAAACTAGGATTTCAGAAGGAGAAGCAAGCTAGAGCCACACAAATTAAGAGTCATTGGTTAAAACATCAGGGTCAGTTGTGCGTAGGCAATATCAACCTGTTGCAGCAAAAGTCAAGAAATGATGAATGCGTGGTCCAAAACGTGACGGATATCTACATATGAAAATGAAGATTATTAAATTACTAACGCGATTAGTTTAGGTGGAGTGGGAGATAAGACACATGCCGATGACAAATATGTCACAAATTAATGGTATCACATGCAAGATAGACCAATCAACAAGGCTGCTTCCAATTCCAAATTTTCATACTTGGGTGTGATATGTAACATTTTCAAAGACAACATCGGATATGTTTTTAAATTTTATTCATTTTATGATTAAGGTATGTGGGACCCAAGATGGTTCAAATGGAATGCATCCCTAAAGACAGTAACAAAGAATCAACTTCGCACGAGAAAACCCATTTTAAATCGGATGCTATGATGATGTTAAACTTGAAAGG